GTGTGAGAGCTGTATCCTTGTAAATACAAAGATATGGTGCAACAAAAGAACGAAGACAACATGAGACAACTATTTATTTATTTATTTAGGTGAAACTGTTTGCTTTTTTAATTTGGTTTACCTTCTTGAAACTGCTTAAAAACATGATGTAAAAAAATTGAATAGATGTAAAGCAAAACATAACATTTAACTTAATTTGTCTTGTATGCAATTGAAAACATGACAGCATTTCTAACTCATAATAGTGTTTTTTCCAATCATATTATTTTAGGCTTTTCAAAATGGCAATTAAGAGGATTTCACGTTTGACAAACTTTACACTTGAACCTTTTTATTAAGTGAAATGAACTTTGTTAGTGCAATTGAAAATCACCAGAACGTGATAAATGTTGATATATTTACGCTTCCTGACTTTTATTTTTACAATATAACCCTAACTATTGAAACAGTACAGCAATATCCTGTACTTTCGATTTGTTTAGCTCATACTTTCAAAATATAAACAACGTAGTCAAACACTGTAGCTGAACAAATTAAGCGTAATGAGTCTGTTGTATTATCAACTAAATAATCATGATAATTATAATGTCTCTTTTCGATTGTGACATAAAATTATTTGGTTAAAACATGTCAATGAACGATCGACTTTACATCATTATCTGAATTACATTTAATCCTATTTGCATATGCAGTTTCTGTTACTTTAATCATACATTATTTTTAGTTAATGACATTCGATATTTTTAAATTTTGTATATTACATTTTACTGGTTTATCTAACGATATCATAATTGCATTTTTACAAAACCTCTATTTTACAATAATGCTGGACTTAAAATGTTAAGTTTCACGAGTTTCAGTTTTAAGTTTGTGATTTTCATTATTTTGTTCAGAAATGTTATTGTATAAATAGAACAAATAAACAAACACTTGTTCTGATCACCGAGAGGCTAAAAATAGTTGGACCACATAAATACTTAGATGGGTGATTGTGTTAGAGGAACACAAACTCAAGTGATTTTAAAGTGGACGAGTGGTGTGACATTAACCGATGCAACTGTTATGTAGCCTTTAGCCTTATTATAGACGCGGATCTCACTTTTTTGACGGTTACGTTGCTGAATCCAAGTTTTGCTAGACGGTCTCTGAAATTTAGGCCCATGTGCATTGAGCATTTATCGGAAAGATAGGTTACCCTGGTGTTCTTAGTCACCATGTTGTGTGATACAGATAATTGTTTAATGTGAATACAGAAACAATATGTTCTTGCCATCAGAGATACGTCCCTCTGATTGACACTGAAAAAGAAAAACAAAAAAACAAAAAAACAAAACAAACGAACGACCGATTAGAATCCGTAACCTTGTCTGTGTCAGTAGAAGTCATTCCAAAGCAAACACCAATATGAAACAGGATTTGTTTTTACTTTTTATTGAATTAAACTTTTGATTCAACTTTAAAATGTTTTCATAAGAATATTGATTGATGAAACTCAATCGATACGTCGAGACTCTCTTTATGTGGTGTACCCAAGCATATATTATTATTATTATATCGTCTATGAACTGTCGTAAAAATGTTTGGCATCAAAGAAACTTTGTTTCTAAAGTAAAACTAAAGCACACTAACTCGTGTCCAAACTGCATTTGGTATTGGATGGCTGAATATGAATACTCAATATATACTATATGACCGTTGTCATTTAGTTGCTAAATATGCACACAGTATTCCAGAATCTCGTCGTATTTTTTTTTGCTTAAACAGCAGAAGAGTTGAGTCTGTTCTCATTTAACCCTTTTGATTTGTAATGTACTGTCACAAATTATAATTTTATTTACTTGTGACTCATATAGCCAGATATGGCTGGCCAGAAATGCGTGTCACATCAATAAATAATAAAGTAAAGTAAAGTATACGACTCAATTCATTACAGCATGTCCCATTGTGTTCGGTAAGTTAAAAGTCCTTGTTTTACCAATATTATATTTGAACATATATTTTGTATTTTTAATCCTTCACAGAAATAAGATGCCAGCCATATTTCTAATTATTGTTTGTATATGTGGAGTTTTTCACTTGACTTCTGCGCAATCAAGTAAGTCTGCATTCATCATAGTCACCATCATCATCATCATCATCATCATCATTATCATTTTCTTTTTCTCCTTCTTCAACATGATGACTTATTCGGCATTAATACCAAGAATCGAGATGACGAATTATTTTAAGACTCCGAGATACTAGAAATTTAAAAATAAATATTTCAATACAATATCATGCACAATTTAGACTGGAATAATAGATAATATTATCACTTTAATTTCAAGTGATTTTTGTATCACATTGGCTAATTGTGAGATTTTTCCATGAAAAACAATGTAATGATATTGCTCTTGCGTTCGATAAGTTCTGCAAGTTGTACACAAGTCGAGCATGGGAGTTAAGAAATTCCGTCTTAAAGGAAAAATAATTACCGTTGCTGTTTCCCACAATGTGTAAAGAATACACATCTAGATGTGTATAATTGTAAGCCTACTGTACTTTCTTTACATTGTTGTTGCTATTTAGAATAAGTTGTTACTTTCTATTTTTATTGAATTCAGTATGTTAATGCTGTTAATTATGTTTAGCTCAGGGTTTTGGTTGGGGTGGGCGTGAGGTTACAATGAAAGGGTTCAGAACTCCATTGCGTTGATATTGGTGGATGACAAGATTTACTCTGTTTTCATTTTCGCCATTTGTTCATGTTGAAATTTAAAAATTAGGGTTGGCTTCAAGGTGGTTTTTTTTTTATGTCAATGGGTTGAAGGGTGAGGGCAATGAGTCTTTTAAACATAAGCTTGTCGTTTTGTTTTCTCTGTTTAATTTGTTTTTCTTTCATTTGCTTAATTGTTAATTTTTTATTTGCTTAACTTGTTTCTTTGGACGCACCGTTACGTACGAGTGCCACTGTTGTAAAAGTGTCGATTCCAAATAAAGAATTAATAAAAGTCACATGACAATAATATGCGTGTTGTACATGTTCGTTAAAAAGAAAATTCATAAAAAATTGATACAATATTGTTTAAAGGCACAAGCTAAATGTTCATAGAAAAAGTATATAAAACTTAAATTAAATAAGAAGGGAATATCTTAGCTCAGTAGGCTAAGCTGGTGGCAGCCACAGGATGTGTGTTGAACCGTGGTCGAAATCCAGTTATGCCATAAACTTACGCATAAATGTTGTTGCCAAATTAAACATAAAAATAATGTTATAAACATTGTATGTTTAACTAGTTTAAATGGAAGTATTCATACTATATTCTCTTTCGAATTAAAAAGTGGGCTGTGAGAATATTCCTTCACATCCAGTAATAAATGGAAAAATCACTTACACCCCCTCCTTGCAAAACTACATTCACCATGGAACAAGAGCTGAATATGTATGTCATCCGGGTTACACCAACGTCGGACCTCAAATAGTCATCTACTGTCATGACGGAACGTGGATAGGATTAGACAACGATGATCCTACGAAATGTGTTCCTAAATCGTCTACAATTGGTGGTATGTTATTATTAATATCAATATCATTATCATTACCAATATTATTATTAATTGTTATTATTATTATTATTATTATTTCTACTGTTATTATTAATACTGTTATACATAAGTAATTATTATTGGGAAATCAAGCCATTGACTCTGAAAGTAACTTTCTCTATTACATTATTATTATTATTATTATTATTATTATTATTATTATTATTATTATTATTATTATTATCATTATATTTTTATGATTTTTATTATTATTATTATTATTATTATTATTATTATTATTATTATTATTATTAGGAAATCAAAGTCTGGCCTTCTTCCAAATTGTTGTGTTACTTCGTATTTGCATTTTCTTGTTTTACCATTGGAAGAAAATACATGTTTTGTTGTTGAACTGAATTATTACTATTACAGAATAAATATAAATTGTGCAAATTTAAACTTTGTATTTTCATGTTTTATTGTAGAGGTTATTGTTAGTTTAGGTCAAAGTGAAAATTGTTCGCAACTACAACAACAACAAAATTCACAACTGTGCTATTGTGTAAAAAAAAATAGAAACAAAGACTTTTCACAACTGTATTATTAGGCTATGTCAATAAATAAGTCGATATATGTATAAGTAAGCATATGTGCTTTTTTTCTTGTATTTATTAGAAATGGACTGCCAGAACCCAGAAGATGACTATCTAAGGCCAAACTTAGTACAAACTGGTAGTTACAAACACGAAGATACAGTCGAGTTTGAGTGCGTCCCTGGATACCAGTTGCATCCAGCTTCAACAAAACGGTCTCATTGTATCAATGGTGGTTGGACGCAACCCGCACCAGATTGCGTCATGGAAGGATCTATACGTAAGTAATTCATTGATTTCTATATAATCTATAACGCAATTTGAATATTACTGTTGTATTAAAAAATTAGGAGCTGTAAAATGCTTAGGCCTATTTTATGATATCTTAATTGGTATAAATAGAACTACTGTTGTATTAAAAAATTAGGGGCTGTAAAATTCTTAGGCCTATTTTATGATATCTTAATTGGTATAAATAGAACAGGGGCGAATCCACGGGGGCCCGTGCCCCCCCCCCCCGTCAGTCCCGCCGAAAGAGTTAAAGGAAGGAAAAAGGGGAAGAAATGGAAGTGTGCTCATGAGTTCAGTGGCGGACCCGTCAGTGGGCGAAAGGAGAGCTCGATTATTTTACCGCTCACTAATTTTAAATTTTCTATTGATTGACGACAAACACAACGTTGCGGTACATCCCTATCGCCGAATTTTTCCCACAATTTCATACAACCAGGATGTATAAATAGTACCCAGCTAAAACAGCTCCATGCTTACTGGCGTAATGCGTATGCGCTTTCGTGCGGAGGTCCGCAGGGCCACCGACACTTAGTAGCCCCTGCAGTGCCGCTATCCATAGGATCCTCGCTTAATAGCACCTTGATCTAAAAGGGCTTTGTTGATACATAACAAAATAACGTGCCTCTGCCATCGACTGTAGGACATATTAATCCAGATGGGGATTTGGTGCCCAGCCGGCCAGAACCTCCACATTTGTAAAAATTTTAAAAAATAAATTAAAAAAAAGAGATAAAATATTCAAATTTTAAGTCTGAATGAGTGCCATTTTCGGGCATCTAGAGGTCCCATAACCATAACTTTCTCCCAGTATAAAATAGACTATAGGTCCTTAATTAGAAATTTGCGACCCCCGTAAGCGAAGGTGGTCTAAGGGAGGGGGAATTATAGCTACCGTCTGGAAGAAGTCAATAATTTTGTCGATTAAGAACACTGCTTTGAAAAAAGCATTTTTACCATCTGAGAGGGCCATTTCCGAGCGTCTAGAGGGGCATATTCTAGAAATTTGCTCACCTCAGCCCCAACCATGGTGGGCCTGAGGTGGGTCTGTTCTACCTATTCCCCCCCCCCCCGTCAGAAAATTTCTGTATCCGCCCCTTAAAGGAACTCCAAAAATGCCCTAAAAAATAGTAAGACACCTAAAAGGATATGGCGCTACGATATATTTTTTCGAGATTTATGCAAATGCCTGGCCGTTAAATCGTAACAAATAATTTAGTAGGCCTATATGATGATGTCGATAACGGTAATGATGATAATGATAATGACGATTATTATACTGTGCAATATATACTTATCACTTTATTTTTTTAAATTATTATTATTACTATTGATATTATTATTATTATGATAATGATCATGATAATAATCTTCACATTGATTATAATAATAATAAGGATAATTATAAATTAATGATAATAATAACAATGAAATCCATAAAAAGAAGTCCATGAATAACACCATTATAAAAAGAATATTGAAAACAAAACATTATACAAAATGAAAAACGTCGATTAAAATCTGTACGATAAAAAATTCTGTTTAAACATCTTTTATATTATTGATTTCTTTTAACAGCCTCACCGATCACAACAACAGAAAAAGGTAATTATTATCTTATTATTATTTAAAATATTATTATCATCATCATCATTATTACTATAAATGATAATATTATTATTGTTATTGTTGTTATTAGTTTATACTGATAATAAAAAGCCTAATGATAATTACGATGATATGATGATAATAAAAATGATAGTGAGGTTAATGATATTAATATGATGCTGATGGGAATGATAGTGATTCCCAGCTAACAATATTACGTTCTAAGAACGTTATAATAACATTACATTTTGGTGATAAAAACTATTTTGTAGAACCATATTTACGTACTTATAACCTAATTTCACAACCTCACAACGTTAGAACGTTCTTACAACGTCGTGTGGATGTTATTTACCTAACCACAACGTTCGCGAACATTATAAGAACGTTTTTGTGACGTGTTGGCTGGGTTGCGTGATAATGATCATGATAATAATCTTGATTATCGATTATAATCATCATAATAGTGATAATGGTAATAATAATATTAAGCATTTAATTTAAAGTTTTGATGAATATAAATAATGATGATGATAATATTGACATTAATGAAAAAAAAAATAACTGCATTATCATAGGGTATACCATGAATAATGTCGTTATAACAAAAATTGTATACAATATATATTAAACATCATGTTTTCTTAGATTCTGTTTATTTGTTTAAAAGTCTAATTTCTGTTTAAAGACCATTATATTATTAATTTAAACAAACACCCTTACCAATCATAACGACAGAAGGTAAATTAATATATTGTTACTATTTTAAGTAATCACCATCATCATTATCATTATTATCATTATAAATACTATATCACTGTATTGTTATTATCAATATTATTATTACAATGAAAATGATAACGATAACCATAATGATAATGATGATGATATGATGATGATAATAATAATGATAATGATATTGATGTGATGATGATAATGATGATTGCACCAGATCACGATAATAATTTTTCATCATTGGTCCTAATCATCGCGATAATGATAACTATAATTAAGTTTGATGAAAATGAATAATGATGGTGATGATCATAAAAATAATAATAATAATAATAATAATAATAATAATAACAATAAAACCAATTAAAGTCAATAAATATCGTCATTGTAACAAGCCATCATTCATACTGCAGCACATAATAAAAATCATGTCTAAATCTATTCTTCGATAATCCTATTTTCTTACATTCTGGCATAATTTCCCGTCACATACCAAACAGTCAAAGATGGTGTAGAAAGAGAAGTAGGATCTTCATCGAGTTCGTCAGCAGGGGTGATAGTCGCAATTGTGGTTCCTATCATAATTATCTTAATGATAATTGCATTTCTCGGCTTCCGTAAATATAAATCTCGAACTGATGAGGTAAGCAAGACTGTTTTCTTTACTGAGAAACCTGTCTAGCTCTTGCTAATTATTCTTCTATAGGGCTTTTAGCTTTGTAAACTAAGCTGATTTTGTAGTATTTCAACAAGGAACTCTTGTACCATTTTTCTTAAGGCTACGACTACCGTAAATGCTCGAATAAGCGCCGTGGCGCTTATAAAATTTTTGGAGGCTTATTCGATCGAGAGCACCGTTTATTCGAGAGCAGCGCCCGTTCCCATATTTACATACCGGTAACTCAAATCCCGTTCAGAAGGCCTATTATAGGTGGCGGCTCTAGGATATAATTTATGAGGGGGGTGGGGCTAAGATGTTCGACCTGTCTCTTATACACATCTAGGTGTAAATATAGTGCGCAGTGTTATCTGAGGGCCGGGGATACGTATGGGAGGGAGGTGTCCCCTCCTTCCTAAACAAGATTTAAAAAAAAATTGGGACTTCTAGATGACCAGAAATGGCTGGGTTGGGAAAACTAGGCCTATTTTTTGTTCTATTGGTTCGACTTCCCGACGGGCTTTGGTCGATTGGTGTGGGGAAGGGTGCTTGACCAAACCGATGGGGGGGGGGGGGGCTTGGGGGGGGGGGGGGGGGGGGCTTAAGCCCCCTGCAACCAGCTGGCGCCGCCACTGCCTACGTCATCGTAAATAAACTTTTATAGAGAAATGCTTGTCTTCATTGTGTTATTTATTCATTTTAACACTGTATAGCCTACATTTAGAATCCTGTTTCTCAAAGTGTTTCATTACACACAAGGTAATAAACTCTCGATTAAGCGCTGCGGCGCTTAATTCGAGATAGCGGCGCTTAGCTTAAAAAAATCAGGCTTGGTGCGGCGCTTATTCGAGAGCGGCGCGTTAGTGGGAACCGGCCTGTACTCAAGCATTTATGGTAATGATCATGATCGATAATCAGAATGGTGCCGAGCACTTAAAATGTTTGGTAAGGTTTTCCAACATTTATTATTCAATAAGATACTATTATTGAAATTAATGACGATATTGGATATAATAAAAAATAAATTCATGGTGCATAACGTTGTAAACTGTTGTAATCAACTTTCAGAACCGGCCTGCTCCTCCGCCGCCAATATGGTGCACCCCCAACACGGCCCAGCAAATACCACCACCAAGAGTGAGTTCCATACTTCTCTTTGTCAAGTCTCTTCAGAATTTGATTTGATTTATTCCATTTTAATAAATGTGAAAAGCCAAAAAAAAAAAAAATAAATAAATAAAAAAAAAATAAAATAAAATAAACCAAACGAAGAAAATACATTAATGAATCAAATGACTAATGGAAAAAGAAAAAAAATTATGAAATACAAGGTAAACATGACTATATTACAGAACTGATTAAAAAACAAGAAAAAAATATCGAAACATACAAAAATATGAAACAAATAAAAGTAATAAAATAAATAATAATAAAAATAACGATGATAGGGCCTACTTATAGTTAGTATTTAACAAATCTCTTGGTCATTATTGATAAATTACAGTATATATGTAGGCCTACTACTTTTATTTAAATTGGGTTATGTTGAACTTTAAACTTTTCCTAAATTTAGATGATCGATGAATCCGAGGGTGCGTATTCACATCCCAATGCTGCACTCACAAGCAGAGACGTCAACTTTGATACACCGGTAGATGGTGATTGTGACAACACATACAATGTCACCATTCGGCTTGAAGGAAATCGACAACAGAATGCAGTTGGGCGCGTCATTCACGGTAATGCAATGTATCACTCTCCACGAGCAGTCAGGATAGTTATAATAATAATTAAAGGTATCCCTCCAATTAAAGACCCCTGTATTAAAAGACCACCTCTAAAATAAGGTCACTGTTCTACAGCCCGAAATTAATGTCTATCTTTTATTTTAATAAAACTATTTTTTCTAATCAAAAACCAAAGGTGTTAAGACCAGGGGAAAAAAGTGATCTTTATTGGAGGGAGAAGACTTATATAACGTATACTAATAACTCTGAATAAGTATTACAATACAGTAGTGCTAATGTTTACGCTGAAAAAAATAAAAAGAGTGTATGTTATTCTGTACAGGTAACTTTTCAATAGAAGACAAGGAAGCAATGGAACGTGAAATAGAAGCCATTTTCAGACTACCGTTTCATTATGGCGTCATTCGTCCAATTGCTGAGATCAACGAAGATGGTAATGACGTTTTGAAAAACTTATGTCTGTGAGAGACATATCATCTCCACCACGGCTCACAAAATTTCAATTTCTGTCGATTTAAAATTAAAATGTACATAGAGGTGCCTAACGAAAACCGTAGCAATGGGTTCAAATGAATTGAACAATGGCGACAAACCGGGGTCCAAGCCTGTTTTGGTACCAGAAGACGTTATTGTCTGAGTTACTAAATGCAATAAAATAAACATTAGCAGCAATATTAAAAATAATATAGGCTGTTATATATGTTAACTCTGTGTTCGTTATATTTTTTTACCAGATATGATTGGCATCTTCACGGAAAGGGCTCCAAAGGGTAGTCTGTGGAGCTACTTGCGTAGCTTTGCAGATGCGCGTAACTCAGTCAAGCCAAAGGCGAGAGAGCTTATAAACTACGCTTTACAGATAGCCGAAGCGATGAAGTTTCTGCACGATGTAGAGGTAATAATAATAATAATGATGATGATGATGATGATGATGATGATGATGATGATGATGATGATGATGATGGTAATAATAATAATAATAATAATAATAATAATAATAATAGGAAATAATAATAATAGTAATAATGATGATGATAATAATAATAATAATAATAAATAATAATAATAATATAATAAACAATTGTAATTATGATAATGGTGATGAAGATAATAATTATAGTAATAATAATGATGATGATTACGATAGTAATAATAATATAATGATAATAATAATAATAATAATAATAATAATAATAATTACAATAATAACTTTAATGATAATGATAATGGTAACGGTAATGTAATGATAATAATAATAATGATATAAAATATAATAATAATAATAATAATAGTAATAATAATAATAATAATAATAATAATAATAATAATAATAATAATAGTTTTTAAAGATTGACCTAATAACAATATTTCTATTTACTTTATCAGCGAGTTTGTCCACTGCTCTCCTGTCGTCAAATAATGCTCTTTCGTGACAATATCTGTAAGATACCAATCATCGGCTTGAAGCGGCTTAATGACAACACAGACCTCTACAGATTTGTAAGTATTTATTTTTATCCATTATGAAGTGATGTAATGGATTGTAGTTTATATAGCGCTTTATACCGAAGTCTCAAAGCGCTCGAGGGGTGGACTAGCCCAATAATTTTTTCTCCCCTAAGGGTCTGTTCGTGTCTTAGCTACCCGGTAAACAGGTAGATAGGCCTAAGCTATCTCTCGTCTGTCACAACAGGGCATGTGTGAACCAGTGCACCGGGGTAACATAATTATACTCGTCTTGAAAAATGTACCAGGGGTAGTGCTTTTTCTCTCCAACGGGGAGGGGGGCGCCCTGGAACCAAAGGCGAGTGTGCCGTTCGAACCAGCGCCGATATTATGGCTGTAGGTTGCAGCGCCCTAGACATAACCGCTCGGTCATCCAACTCGCCAAGTTACCATTTATATGAGCTATATTGTCTTACCATGGTCTTATAATCATTGTTCTTCGATCCCGTCGTCCAACGCATTGCGGAAGTCGCTGGACTAAAAGTATCAATTTTACTATCCAAACACAGTTATGATTACCAGTTCCTAATATTGGGGTCTAAAAGCACAATTTTGGCCGGTCCTAGACCACAAAAGCTCTCCCCCATGAGGTTATTATTCCAGGACAATGAACGAGGCTACAGGGGCCTATTGCTTCTTATCCCCTATCACACATTTCTGGAGCCACCACTGCTTAGTCTGTGTAATGAATAAATAATACGATTTTAAGTAAGTTTAAAGAGAATGAAAGAATACATACAATTTGTATCCTTTGCTACAACTGTATGACAACACTGTATTTACTGTATAACGATGATTATTGTTGATTATAGAGTTGTTGGCATGGAAGAACATACAGGCCTACAATTCAAATACAAATTTTTAACATTAATAATAAACATGTATATTAAATAGGGAGATACAACTTTGCCAGTGAGATGGATGGCACCTGAATCTATCGACTACCAGATTTTCACAAAGTCAAGTGACGTATGGGCATTTGGGGTTGTGCTCTATGAAATTATTACCTTAGGTAAGGATGAACGTTAATTTATTATCAGTATTTGGTGAGGATATTAATATAATGCGCAATCACACAAGATATATATATATATACATATGTATATATATAAATTTACATATGTATATATACATATGTATATATATATACATATGTATATATATATATATATATATATATATATATATATATATTGAGTTAGCTCCGCCCATTTGTGACATCTGATTTACTTAATGTGTTTTCGTCGCTCGACCTGTGTTAATGAAGATACATCCCTTTCTCAACATATTATACTTATCTATTATTGTTATACCTTAGTCCACAAGCAAATTTGTTTTAATGAGGAAATTCCAGAAAGTACGCTGATTAAGCAACTGAGTGTTTTAACAACAATGGAATTAAGATTAAATTAAAGTTATAATTTCTTGGGTTAGATAATGACAAGTTTTTTTTTTTTCGTTAATTATCTTGATATTATTCCTAGACTTTTGCCATGTACCATGACTTTCAATTTCTTAATTTCTAAGTACAGTATCTAATTTCATATTTTATTTCCAGAAACGTTTTTGTACTTCCTATCATATTTCTATTCTACAGGCGAGACGCCATACGAAGGCATGACCCCCGAGGCAATCCCTGGCATGCTCAACCAGGGCTACCGTTTGGAAAAGCCGCAATCCTGTGGAAGAAGACTGTAGGCTTAATTGTGTTTTATAAAGTATTCGATCTCATAATACATCCATTTAGATTTATCATAGCATATTTTTACTTCTTAATTATTGCATTTCATATTCATTAAAAACTCTCACTCCTCTATAAATTTGAAGATCATCATCATTACCATCATGATATTATCATTATCATTGATATCTATGTCATCACCATCACCATTTTACTAACGATCTGCTCATCAAGTGAGATTCGACAGATTTGTCTTAGGTCCTGGAAAAAAATGTCGAAATATATCATGGGATCTTTTAACTTCTCATTTTAGCCAGTAAGATCTCATCTAAAGGTGTCACACCACCGAAAGGTAGCAATTCAAAGCGGGGCGTTTATTCGAATAGGCCTATATACCGTACAGTATTGTGATATTTTTTGAGCTACTATATTGGTGGCTCAAAGAGGAAAATAAAACTAAACTGAATTTCTGAATTCGAGAAATTTGCTACAGTACCATCTTTCTTGTGTAGATATGAAATCATGGAAAATTGTTGGCAGCAAGAACCAAGAGATCGACCTTCGTTCGAAGAACTTGTAGCGGAATTGCGTGAGTTGAAGAATGATACCTATGTAAGTAATTGCAGAATATCAATTGAACAAAAAGTATCTTATTGTATTAAGGCCTGAAAGAAGAAAAGCGGCATTGGCTTCCACGTATGTTTTATTATGTGTGAAAACTGCACCGATGACGCGTTTAATTTCATGAAATATTCGGAAAATATGTTGGATTGGTATCTAGTTTTGGAATTTGAAGAGTATAATAACATAGGGATACGTCATAGTATTTTCAACATTGGCCTACATAAATTGTCCGTTCTCCCTGTATGTTAGGTGTATTTTGTTTTCATTCAAGATGTGTCCTGGTTTACATTCTTTTGTACCAATTGATTTTGTGAATAAAGAATATATATATATATATATATATATATATATATATATGATAATATATATATATATTATATATATACGTATATATATATATACTATATACACGCTTAGAAGTATACATAGGGGGAAACTAAAACAATGAAGTGGGTTAAAAACAGTACCTTAAGGCGAAAGTAGTGTCGCTAAGGGGAAACTAAAGCGACGTTATGGCG